GCCTCTTTTCAGTTCTTCAGTTTCTTGAGTTTTTGGGCGACTGTTTGGGCTGTGGTACTCAGATTTTGGGATTTTAAAGTTCTGGCAGGAGCTATATTGAGGTGTTTTGAGATGATCTAAGTTCATATTATAACTTTCAAGAGTTGATTACTGAGTATTAAAACACCATTGTTCAGGGTGATACAGAACATAAGTCGGAATATGAAAATCCGGATACTGTCATTGGAGATGAAGAGTTTAATCGCTTAAAAAACTAATTTAGCAGATTACTATGGATGGTTACAATATGTTAATCATGGAACAGTGGTAGGAGCAAGTATGTTTAAGTTTTAAATTACTGCTAGCTACGGATTAACTGACATATAGAATTTAACTCGTTTCAATTTTTGAGCATAAAGACATGTTAAGTCGATTGTTGTTTTGATGTCGTATTTAATTTCAATTGTTTTTTTAAACCATTGGGATGCTATTTGGTATTAATAAGACCCTTAGGATCAGTTTTAGAAACCAACTGAAGGGTAGAAAATGGCCGGGGTCGAAGCAGATCATTGGAAAAGAAGAAGGAAGCGGACCAGTGGGCTTCCCCCTCTCGGAGGCAGCTCCAAGCACTTTGAGCCTGCTCCAAAAGTTTTTGGAGTCGGCTCAATGTTGGTTTGAGCTTGCTCTATTTTTTTAGAGCAGGCTCTTTCCATTTTAATGCGTACTGTAGGTTTTCAGCTACTGTTTGGGCACTTGGGGTTTCTGAACAGTTTTGAAACTTTAATGGGGTTTTCAATAATTATTTTAGGATGAAATTAAGGTCTTATATTGCATAAAATACCCTCTGTGTATTAATAGAATTAACAGTACGCTATTTAATAACTTTACGTGCGGTTAACGGCTGGAAGGAGATTTACTGATTAGTTTTAATCTAACAGTTTAGGATGCTATAAAATGATTCTAAATTTATTTAAAATGCACTTTGAAGTCTTTTAATTAATAAATTGGACTTATGGCATAGGGTGTGGTTCTGTGCTAAAAGATAAAACAGAAGATAAGTATACAACTTAATACGCTGTTACCGGATGGAAGGAATTAAATTGCTTAAATTAATTTAGCGATTTATTGGACTATAATATGATTATAGAACTTATTTTAAATACATGACAGAGTCATTGTTATATTAAATTAGAATTATGCATGTTCTGGATGTTAATTGTTAGAATATTAAATTCTTTGATGCAATTACATGGATTAATATTGGATTTTAATTGCGAGATTTTTAATCTTCTTTCTACAATTATTTGGATTTTGGTTTTGGATTGTAAATTGCTAAACTGTTATGTATCGGTTGTAATTTACATGGTTTTGGATTTAAATTGCTTAAATACTAAATACTCTTCTGCAATGGTAGGAATATTTGGTTTTGGACTGTAAATTACTGGCTTATTATTTATTGTAATTTACACGGATATGGAGGATTGTATGCACCGGTATGGGACGGTGACATACTAGGTATGGTTTAGCTCAAAGCGCTAATTCCTACCTTATGGATGTTAATTGGTGAACAGTTTTACCTGTTCTATCAATTATATAGATTTTGTGGATTGCATGCGCCGGTATGGGACGGTGGCATACTAGGGACCGACTGATGCAAAATACTCAGTCCAACCTATTTTGGAATAAGGGTACGGGTTATTAAATAAAATCCTCCTTATATTTATAAGTCGGTGCGGTTGAATACGCCAAACGACTTACTGGATTTATTATGGATGGTTAGGAACGGAGTTTAAATATAGTTTTATGATACCGTGATGTGAGCTTGAGTCTCAGCGTCGACGGTTAGGGTGCATATATGCAATAAGATGCGTAGCTGGCTGTGAGGGTTGAGGTATACCCTGTTTAGGTTTAGGTACTCATGCCCACCTATGGGTGCGTTTTCGCATGTTGCCTTCTATTCAGGTTGAGACCCTTTTCATAACCTAGTGAGAGTCCTGTAGTGTGAAATACATACGTACGGACTATTAGCTATGGTTGAGTTGGTTATAATGTATATGCGTATCGAGTCTCTGCTTGGATTGTAGTAGGTTAGAACTTGTTCGTGGGCCTGACCCACTACTATTTTTCAGGTACTCATCAGTTCCAGACTTAGACTTGTTCGTGCTGAGCAGAGATGGTCACTCACTTTACCGACGACGTAGGAGTATTCCTCATGGTTTAGCATTGGATTTCTTTTTAGTTGTTCATTTTTCAGTATTGGATTTTTAGTAGGGGTCCACGAGTTGGATTCTTGAGTTGTATTAGAAGTGGAGAAGAAGTTGGATGTATCAAACTAGTTCTTATTTATAAAATTTTTATTTATGAGGATTTTCAATAAAGGATATTCGTTTTAGTTTCTTTTCAGCAAAATTTTTATTCGTTCCTATTATATTAATTGTATTCTGTGTTCGTTAATTGCTAATTGGTTTAATGTCCTCGGGTAATCGGGCGTGGGCTTGGCCAACCCGCATCCGGAAATCCGGGGGTATCACAGTATGATCCCACTTTTATTTCATGAAACTTAGGCTTTAGGTTGTATGACCCTTCATCCTTGGGATGCCGAGTATTCTTGCATGTCCTTGGGATTTTAAAGGACACATTTACTTGTATAATTCATACCCTATTGAGCGGTTGTGCTCACCCCCTATTATATAAACATTTTTCAGGAAATGAGTCGCTTGGGACGACAATCGGAGTTGATGACATGTTTTGATTCATTTGCATTTACATTTGTCATATATGTAATTCAATGTATAATTTGGAGTTATACACTCAATGATGTATTTGACTTTCTTGGAATTACAAGTTGATGTTTTACCTTTAAGGATGTATGTTAATATGATTTCAAAACAATATAATTGAGGCCAAGGGCCACTCTTTATCTTTGTATGTTTTAAAAAACCTCTTTGTGTCTTAATGTTTGATTACGGTTCTTTCATTCACTTTGATGTGTTTTTCCTTCCATTCCATGCTTTATTTTCACTTGGGATTTGCTTTGGATGCCTTAGGATTCATTTTAGAGCAAAGGGGTTAATGTACAAAAAATTTGTATTTTGCATGTTTGGTCTCAGGCACTATTCACCAGAACTATTAGTTTTGGGCGACTGGTCACCCTCGCCCATACCGGCGATTGGTCGTACCCTCCATTTACAGCACTGCCTCGAAAATTTCAAACAGTCATATCTCATTCGTTCTTGAGTCTAAATTTAAGGATTTTGAGTCATATTTACAATGGTACCAATCTCATTTTTAGATTAAATTCCTACCGAGAGATATGCTCATTTTAGTGGGGCAGTGTTGGGATTTCGTTCGAACTGGGATAGGGTTTTCGTGGGATATCACTTCCATTGGCCTTATGACTTATTATGAGGCTACCAAAGGATTATATTGGATTCATTTGATCTCATTTAACTTGTTGGGACTCAAATTTCCTTCTTTTAAGGTAAAATAACCATTTTACCCCTTTTCTTGTTTTTGGTTTGTTTCAGCCTTAGCTTCTGCATTCGTCTTGTACTTGAATCTCGTGACCTCTTAGGAAGTTACTTTGTTATCTTAGAGATAGTGTCTATCTCTAACGACCTCTTTTCCTTTCTTACTTTCGCGTTTCGGGCTCGATATTAGGTCAGTTTTTGGGTTACTCGGTGATGCACCGGATTATGGGATTAGAGGCATCACAAAGTTTGATGAACCAAACCAATGGAAGACCTAGTGGAGGTGAGCTTGGATGATGAGCCAAAAAATAATGTGAGCATAGGATCCTTGCTTGATCTTAGCATAAAGGGTGAACTCATTCGGTTTCTCAAACAAAATCAGGATGTGTTCATCTGGAATCACGATGACATGCCCAGTATAAGTCCAACTATAATACAACATCGTTTGAATGTTCATCCTAGCTTGAAACCCTTCAGACAAAAGAGAAGGACATTTGTCCCTAAACGAAACCAGACCATATTATAAGAGGTGGAGAAACTCTTGAAAGATCACTTTATTCAAGAGGTATATTATGCTAATTGGTCGTCAAATGTGGTCCTCATAAAGAAAGCCAATGGAATGTGGAGATTATGTGTGGATTTTATAGACTTTAACAAGGCTTGCCCAAAAGATAGTTTTCCACTCCCACGTATTAATATGCTGATGGAGGGAATTGCAGGACATGAATTGCCGAGCTTCATGAAGATTCCAATGTATCCTCCGGACATAGAAAAGACCTCATTTGTTACTGATCAGGGTTTGTATTGTTACATGTTCATGCCATTTGGGCTAAAAAATGCAGGAGCAACATTCCAAAGATTGGTCAACATAATGTTCAAGCATTAGATTGGCCGGAACATAGAAGTTAGTTATAAGGAATCTAATCACCATCGGATTTTGATTCAAAGAAGGAATTGCAAAGTAAAAATGCAAGCATGTTTTTGATGGGACAAAATGGCATAGAATAGAGGAATTGCAGAAAAAATTTGGCAGCAAAATAGATCAAAGAGAAAACACAAGAGGGTTATCTGGGTTTTGATTCAAAAAAGGAAATAATTAAGTTAAAAAAAATAGGATTTTTCATGGAACTAAAAGGGAAGGAAGGATGCTTTTAAGGGAAGGAGAAAGGAATTAGGATTTCGATTCAAGGAGTTCAAAAAGGAAAAATGGAAGAAAGCAAAATGGAAGGAGGGATGCTTTTGATGGAACCAGAGGGGAAGGGGAGAGGAATTAGAGTTTTGATTCAAGGAGTTCAAAAAGGAAAAATGGAAGAAAACCAAAAGGGAAGGAGAGAAATGCGCCAATTTGCCAAATTTCAATTTGGTAACAAGTCAGAAATTTCTTCAGTTTCAAATTTTTTTTTTTTTGGTCTTTTAGTTGGCAACCAAGTTATCGTTAAGTTCCGTTACTTGTCTCTTTTACTGCGCCAGGCCAAACAAGGCCTTAAGTCGTGCACCGCAGAACTGCTGGGTAACACTTCAGAGGATTTGAGCCCTTCAACCTTCAACCAATGGTTCTTCCGCACGCTGATTTAATTTGAGTACGAATCCCAAGCAAGGTAGTCGTCCTAGCCCCCCTTAGTAAACCCCCGAACTGAACGCAGGCATCTACATTGAGCTTATACAGAGGAGTGCCTGCTGCTCCATCCCCGTGTCTACTATAGCTCCTGCCCATTTAACCCTTCTCTCTGCTCTCTCCCTCCCTCCTTCTCTCTCTCTCCCTCCTTCTCTCTCTCTCTCTCTCTCTCTCTGAAATATGCCATTTGTTGGCGGGAAAAAGCCTCTATCACTGTCTGCTCATCCAAAATCATAACTTGTTAAACCCTCAGCTATGTTAGAATGGGTAAATCCACCAAGAAATTGACCAAAGTAAGTAATTTGCCCTTATTCTTCTGAATATATAACTTCTGGTTTGATAGATAACAATATACCCCTTAGTTCATATATACTATATACATAAATATTTGTATATCCAGAGGTTTGTATGTGCGTATGAGGGTGTTTTGTTTTCCATGTAGGTTGATGGAGCTCCTTCTGTAGACCCACCTACCAAATCTGTAAAGAGAGGTTTGGCATGTGAAAATTATGTTTTTGGAGTGATTCAATTTATTTAGGTTTTAATTTGATCTTTATCGATTGTATGTTATAGGCAAGAGAGAAGCTGAGGAGGCAAATACTCAGAAGATGAAAAGTATCAAAGAGGAAAAAAGTACTTCAGAGGACACCTCTGCTTTAAATTCTGAAGAAGAGCAGAAGGTTTAACTAACAACATTTTTAGTTGGTTTCAATGTCGGTATTTTCTCTCCAGTTTATTTTTTATTTATTCATTATATATATATATATATATATATATATATATATATTTTTTTTTTTTTCTCTAACTAAATGCCAAATTCTTGTATTTATTTTGGATACTCCTAATGCAATGAATTTATTGAAGCTTGTGTAATTTATAATTTATGCTTATGATATGAAATTTTTTTTTCTAGTTTATTGGGTTCATTTATTGTTTGGTAAGTTGAGGCTCATTCAAATTTAGTGAAAAATTAAAGACCGGTCTGAGATTCTTGCTTTATCCCATGCTAGAGGATTTAGATGCATTGACGTACATCACATTTCGAGGAACATGCAATCTGGTTAGCGAAAGTAGGCTCATCCATGTAGGTTAATTGTAGCTTTTATGTTAGATTAACTTAGTTTGTTCTGCTTGTTTGCCCCTTTTGATATATTTGAGTGAAGTTATGGCGTCGGATTCAATAGTTCACTCCCGCTTAACTGTAATGCATGCTCCATTTATTCATTGAGTACATGATTTATATTGTGTGTAATTTATAATTATCAGATACCTCCTCTGATGAGGAAACTGTGAGACTGCATCACAAATTGTTTCAATTTAGCTGGATGATTATGGATGGAAACTACATTAGTGTAGAGAAAATATATTTACTTACCGTCGAAATCAAAACGATAGTTTATTGGGATTCTAATGCAAATTGTTTGATCGATAAGCAGAGGACTTCTACCAAGGTAGATTTGCAATCAAAGAAATCGCCAGCTACTGCTGCCAAAAATGGTTCTGTTGCGGTTTTTAAGAAGAAAGAGATGTCAGAAGAAGGAAGTTCATCGGATGACAAAGATGTGGGTATTACTACTGCAACTATAATTTTCTGTTGATTCATTCTCTATGCAGATGTTTTCGATAGCATGTCTGGCTTGGAAAATAAATAATCTCTTTTCATTATTCTAATTATGATATGACATTTTTCTGTTGAAAACTTAACATTTACACTCAGGGATGCTGGGTGTATTTCAGGAAAATCATGCAAAGGTGACTTCTCAAGCTAAAACATTGCCAACTTCTGCTCCAAAGAATGTTCCCATGTTGGCCTCCAAGAAAGAAACTGAAACAACTCACATCTCTGGGGATAGTTATTCTAATGAGAAGGTGTGATGCTTTATTGTTGTATGCTGGTTTCCATTCCTTGCGTATTTTGTGCTCCATTATATGTACCAAATTTCTTTTACTAGCTATGTTATTTTAATTGCCGTATTACTTTTGGGCTTCCGTAATTTATCTGAATTCTAACTTCATCTGGGCATATGCAGGAAGAAACTGCTGCAGCACCTACAAAGAAAGCCAATTCTAGTGATAGTTCCTCTGATAGTGACTCCAAAGAAGAAGAGGTCGGGTTGTTATCCTACACTATATGGAACTTTGTTGCAGCTACTAAATAGAATGATTTCTCTGTTAAATAAAGATTCTAATGGGAGCTATGCCTACATGCACCAATGTGATGTCATCTATACCTTGAGAATGACCTTTACCACTGAATTCCAGTCATCCTGATTAATTGGTCTCTTTTATACCTTAGTCACCACCATCCTTAGTCACTTCTCCACCATCACCAAGGCGGCTGCATCCAGTCTCCAGTGATTTTGACTAAGCTGTCGTGGCTCAATTCATTGCTAAAACAGCCAATAATTCCGCTTTCACAAGTTTCATAAGGAAAGAAACCTGACCTCCATCAATCATTTCTCTTCTTGTTAACCCTTGACCTTCATCCTCTGCAGATTTTCATTCTTCCTCCCTTTTCCCTGAGCTTGATAGTCCTCCCCCACTTAAAAAACTTGGTGTCAGTTTTACATCTTTAAAGAATTGAAAATATATGTACATAAATGCTCTTAATGTGGTTGAACTTAAGTCAACGAGGTCAAACTTTGTCGCACTGGAAAAAAAAAAAAATCTTTGTCACACTGAAAATGGGAACAATGCTAACTTCCCTTAAGATTGGGTAGGTTAGCAGAACCAATTGATAAATGGCAGAAAAAGTTGTCTTTCTTTCATATATCTTAAGGGTATTTATATTTTATACAGAATACACAAACCTATTCAAGGTAAGTCAACTATACAATTAATTTGACAACTAATACACGCTAACTCCTAATAGATAACAGCTAATACATGCTTAACTCCTAATAGATAACAGCTGTACACGCTAACTCTCCCGCTCAAGTTGGTGCATAGATATCGCACATGCCCAACTTGGATAGTGGTGTATGAAACGAGCCACTAGTAACACCATGAGTCATCATATCAGCCAGCTGGTTCGCACTCTTAATGTAACGAACCTCTATCACACCAGAATCCAGGTTATCCTTGATGTAGTTTCGGTCAAGTTTAATATGCTTAGTTCGATCATGTTGCACTGGATTATTAGCAATATCAATAGCTGTCGTATTATCACAAAAAATCAATATAGGTTTCTTTGGACCAAACCCAAGCTCACTTAAGAGAATCTTCAACCATGTAAGCTCTGTAATTGCATGATGAAGAGCACGGTATTCAGCTTCTGCACTAGACAACTATACCATATTCTGTTTCTTACTCCTCCAGGTCACCAAATTGCCTCCAACGAATGACACATACCCTGAAGTAGACTTCCTATCCAACTTGGCTCCCACAAAATCAGAATCTGTATAACCCACAATGTCTAGGTGTCCATGCCTGGAGAACATAATACCTTTACTTGGAGAGGGCTTTAGGTAAGCCAAAATACGATTCACTGCATTCATGTGTCGGTCACTCGGATTGTGCATGAATTGACTCACAACACTAACTGCATACGACAAGTCAGGCCTAGTGTGAGTCAGATAGATCAACTTCCCCACTAGTCTCTGATATCTCTCCTTGTTTGTCAGAATCTGATTAGGATAGATAGCTAAGCTATGATTTACTTCAATAGGAGTGTCTATAGGAACACACGCAGAGTTACCGGTTTCAGGCAAGAGATCTAATGTATACTTTCGTTGAGAGAGAAAAAGTCCCTGCTTGGACCGAGACACTTCAATGCCCAGAAAGTATTTCAGAACCCCCAACTCCTTCATTTCAAATTCCTCGGCCAAATAGCTCCGAAGCTTCTCTATCTCATTGGTGTTGCTACCTGTAACAATCATGTCATCCACATAAACGATAAGCAAAGTAATATCATCACCATTCCTCTTATAGAAGAGAGTGTGATCTACCAAAGCTTGCTTAAAACCATACTTCTTCATTGAGTAGCTCAACCTGCCAAACCATGCTCTTGGTGATTGTTTCAACCCATATAAAGCCTTCTTTAGCTTGCATACCTTACCTCCTTCAGGTGTAAGCCCCGGGGGAGGATCCATATACACCTCCTCTATCAAATCACCATGAAGGAAGGCATTCTTCACATCAAACTGTTGTAATGGCCAGTCCAAATTAACTGCGAGAGAGAGTATAACTCGAACAGTGTTCATCTTGGCCACAGGAGCGAAGGTCTCTTGATAATCAATCCCATAAGTCTGAGTGTATCCCTTGGCAACTAGTCTAGCCTTGTACCTCTCAACTGTTCCATCTGACTTATACTTCACTGTAAACACCCACTTACATCCCACGGTCTTCTTTTCTTGAGGTAACTCGACCAACTCCCAAGTAGAGTTCTTCTGGAGAGCCTTCATTTCCTCTACCATAGCAACTTTCCACTCAGGATCTCCAAGGGCATCCTGAAAATGACTAGGAACAGACACAGAAGATAACTAAAGGGCAAAAGCTAGGTGAGTCTTAGACAGACGGTGATAGGAAAAAAAAGCAGAGATAGGATAGACAACATCAGAAGAAAATTTGGAGAAACCCAACCTATCAGGTTCTTTACGATCATGAAAAGGATACCTCCTACCCTGATCACCAACTTATGGATTCAAGGCAGCAGTCTCCACAGAAGTTACAGGGTTAGAATTGATATCTGAAGTTGAAGTTAAAGGAGAAGAAACATGTACCTCAGAGTTAATCCTAGAAGATTCATCCGATGGCATGGTAGTATCATCAAGAGGGATACTAGAGTTAGAAGGAGGCGGCATGACAGTGGCATCCTTGTTCCTTCTCACATATACTTGTTCGAACAAGTGGGCTGGTCTTTCACCTATTTTTTCATCGAACTTAGTCTCCACATGATCAAGAGTATCTAAAGGTTCTCCTTTTTTTATAACAGCTGAATCCTCCTCCTTACCTGAAATCCACAACCTCTTTTCTTCCAGCCATAATCGTTCCTCTTCCTTACTACTAATCTCCCCCTGAAGAGGAATCAGAGATACATCCCCAGAAAAATAAGACTCTCTTTCACAAAACTGAACATCCATGGACACATAGTATTTACTTGTAGGAGGATGAAAACATTTATAGCCCTTTTGTGAATTAGAGTAACCAAGGAAGACACACTTAAGAGCACGAGGGTCAAGCTTATCCCTATGAAGAGAATGTATATGAACATAACACACACAACCAAAAACCTTAGGACAAAGATTAAGTGTAGAAGGAATAGAGTGAAATCGGGATAGCATTCTTAATGGAGTTTGATATTTAATTATACGATAAGGCATTCGGTTGATAAGAAAAACAATAGTCATGACAGCCTTAGCCCAGAAACGCTTAGGAACATTCATAGTAAAGCATAAGATACGAGCCACCTCTAAGAGATGACGATTCTTACGCTCTGCTATGCCGTTTTGTTGTGTTGTGTAGGTGCACGTTGTCTGGGGGAGGATGCCATGTTGTTTGAAGAAATCAGTAAGAGACGGATTCACACACTCACCACCATTGTTAGAATGGAAAACCTGAACCTGAGTATGAAATTAGGTGACAATCATTTTGTAAAACTGAGGAATAACATGTATTACATCACTCTTAGATTTTAGCAAATAAACCCAACTCACTCTAGTACAGTTATCAATAAAAGATACAAAGTATTTATGGCCCGAAGCAGAAGGAGTAGAAAAAGGACCCCACACATCTGTGTAAACACATGAAAAAGGAATAGGACTTTTATTGAAACTCACTTTAAAAGGAACACGATGGTTTTTAGCATAAATGCATTGTTCACACCCTAAACTAGAAGCAGAAATATTGCAAAATAACTTAGGAAATAAACGTTTTAAATAAGAGAAAGATGGATGTCCCAAACGACAATGCCATAAAAATATCTTCTCTCTGTCAGACTCTCTCTTTACTTGAAAACCACGGCTAGGTTCAGATTTTAACTCCCTTATCCCCTTCTCCAAGTAGTAAAGACCTCCTCTCTCCTTACCAATGCCAATCGTCATCTTCGTAAGATTGTCCTGAAGCACACAATGGGTAGAATGAAAAGTTACAGAACAATTAAGTTTTTTCGTAATTTTGCTAATGGAAAGAAGGCTGTTAGAGAGATTAGGTGCAAGTAAAACTGAAGACATGGAGAATGTAAGAGAAAGTGAGACATTCCCAGCCCCTGTAATTGGCATAGGAGTACCGTTAGCAACCTGAACAGACTTAACAGGTGAAGGTATTAGAGAGTCAAGTATGGAAGAGTTACTAGTCATATGATCAGTGGCCCCTGAATCAATAACCCGGGTGTTAGAAGCAGTAGAAATAAAGGCCAAACCAGAATTACCTCCTTGAGAAGACACTCGAGATACATGAGAAGCAGAAGATGGAGAAGTGTCGGGGATAGCAACCTGAGCAAATTTCTTGTTCTTCTTCTCAGCTTGCTTAAGCTTGAACCACTCCGGATAACCATGTTTCTTCCAGCAAACATCAACCGTATGTCTCGTACTATTGCAGTGAGTGTAGAGACGAGAAGTAGAGTCGGTAGAAGGAGGAGCTGGTCGGGAACTCCTTTGGACAGCAAGAGCCGAGGCCTCTGAGTGATCCTTTATTGCCATGGTGACCTGTCTCTGTGCTTCACGACGAACTAGAGAATATGCTTCTTCCATGCTTGGTAAAGGAGAGGTAGCTAGAACACGACTACTAACTTGATCCAAACTGTGATCCAAACCTGCAAGAAACATATAGACCCGATCTTCAGAAATACGCTTCCTCTGTTTCTCAATATCAGTTGCACACGTCATATGATTTGGTCTTCGATAATCAAGTTCCTTGAAGATTGAGTTCAGCTCATTGTAGTACTCTACAAGAGGCCGACCATCCTGACGCAATTGAAAGGACTTCTTCATCAGTTCATAAACCTGAGAAGAATCAGAGACATCAAGATAGCTTCTCTTTACCGCATCCCAAACCTCCCTGGCTGTTCCGCACTGCACAAAGTGGGACATCAGATTTACCGTCATGGAATTGATAAGCCAAGACTTGACTAGGGCATCTTCAGCCTCCCATTCATCATAGCTTGGATCATCCTCTGCAGGTGCAACCTTTCTCCCTGTGATATACCCCTTTTTCTGTCTACCAGCAATATGCATCTCCAAAATCTGAGACCAAACACGATAATTAGCACCATCCAATTTAATAGGAATGGGAGAAGAAGTTTCGTGAATAGTCATTGTGGAGAACTTCTTGCTGTCAGATGAATTTTCGGTTAGAGAGGAAGAATCAGTGGTTGTTGTGGCTGCCATGGATCGTGGCTAAGAGGTATTGAAGACAAGTAGCAGCAGCACAAAGAAGATTGCTGACTGCTGTTGCAGGTCTTTAGAAGTAAGGTTAAAATAGAAAAGAAAAGAGAAAGCAGCTGAAATTCCTTTTTTTTTTTTTTCCTCTGATACCAAATTGATAAATGGCAGAAAAAGTTGTCTTTCTTTTACATATCTCAAGGGTATTTATACAGAATACACAGACCTATTCAAGGTAAGTCAACTATACAACTGATTTGACAACTAATACACGCTAAGTCCTAATAGATAACAGCTAATACACGCTAACTCCTAATAGATAACAGCTAATACACGCTAACTCCTAATAGATAACAGCTGTACACGCTAACTGAACCCTATGGACATTTGTTACATTGTAAGTTAAACTAAGACACATTTACAGCCAGTTGCTGCTACCATTTCTTTGATGTTCTGTGTTGCTCTATGAAAACTAAATTAAATCACATTATTTTGCAGGTTCCTACAAAGAGAGTATTTCCTTCAAAAAGGCCAACTTCAACAAATGAAACAAAGGAATCCAAACAGGTCTGCCCCTCCCTGTTGCTTTCCCTTTTTTCAGTTTACCATATAACAGAACAAGGCATATTTGGTAATCTAAAAACTTATTACTTACCTTTTTTGCACCAGCAGAAGAAGGAAAACCTTAAAGAAGATGGCAACGAGGATGATCGTTATGAGGAAAGTGATGATGAAGGGCCTCAAAAGAAAAAGTTGAAAGTTCCGGTATATTATTATGCACATTCAATATCAGCTATATATCTTGCTCTATTATTAATTCTTTTGTTTGAGTGATCACCTAGTGCAATATGCTGCAGCTGACTGGTGTACCAGTTGCTGGAAAACAAAGCACAAAAGCTATGAAAAGGGGAGACAGCAGTGATGAGGAAAATTCTGATAACGAGCCTAAAAATGCGCCGCTAGTTAAGAAGGTAGAAGAGTTTGAAAATTGTGAAAATAAATTGATTAACAATCTTATGAGAATTAACTGGTTTTTCTAATTCATGCTTGAACGTAATTGGCACAGCCTACCCAAGTTTCAAAGAAAAGCAATAACTCTGATGAGGAATCTTCTGGAGAAGACACTTCCAAGAAAGAAGAGGAGCCACCTTCTAAAACTTTGAAGAAAAATGTGCATATCACTTCTTTAAATAATACTAGAAATTTGAATTAATACTTTAAAATATTATTTTTTCTGTTGAAGTTGGAATGTTCCAACTGTAATTTTTTTATTCTTGCTTTTGCATTAATTGATGCTCTTCTTATTCATGCTTGTATTTAATTGTGGCAGCTTACCAAAGTTAGAAATGTAAGGAGTTTTGAGGAATGTAGTTCGAGTGAAGACACTAATGGGGAAGAAGAGAATCTGCCTTCCAGAACTCCAAAGAAAAATGTGAAGACCACTTTCTAAAATAATACAGTTGAAATCTGATCTATCACGCATAAAAATAGGATTTTTCATAAAAAAAGGCAAAATTGTTTAGCTGCAATTTGTGATATTTGATGTGGCCTAACTTTGGTTGATGATTGCTAGGTCAGTCTTTTGCTGTAATTACACATCAGAAGTTGGACATGTGATGAATTTGAACTAATACTATAATTGCATACCGCAGGGAACTAAATAAAATAATTATTACAGATAAAATTGCCAATCACATGTTTCAGATTATCATTTTTAAAGAGATAAAAAAACCATGAGATTTAAATATGATAATTAGTGTATCTAATCTCTTATGATCAAACTATACTTGTTGTGTGCATGTATGATAAGGTGAGTTTGAGTTTGTATGGTGTGCTAAAATTGAATCTCTGCAATGGTTCGTATCTAATTTTAATTTTTTTTAAAAATTTATTTTAGGTTGACAAAAAGGGATGGTTGTTTTAGTTGGCATATGCATTTAATTTGTTTTGTGGATGAGAACTGTAGGAGCTGTTGGCTTGCTTTAGAAAAACTTCCTTCTGGTCATTCTCCAACAACGCGCGTTTAACTAAGCAAACTTTCTTGGCTAAACAGGATGTAGATGTAGAAATGGATGATGTAGTCGCCAAATCAGAGATCAAGCAAGCTGATACCATTGATTCCAGATCTGAAAAAAAAGCAGTAAGCACTAATTCAATTGATCTTATATGTTCTCTTCCAAACTTATTTTCCATCTATTTAAAGAAAGGTGTAAGCACTAATTCAATTGATGTTATATATTCTCTTTCAAACATATATATATATTTTTTGTATCATTAGTATAAACTATATGCCATAGAATTGGAAGAGAAATTGTAATAATTTCTGATGCAGGCACAAAGTCATGGCACTCCTGAACACGTGGGATCAAAAACACTGTTTGTTGGCAACTTATGCTTTTCTATTGAAAGAGCTGATCTGTATGTGTTCCTCACAAATTTGTTATATTTATCCAAGCCGATCTTTATCTGATTGCTATTTAATTCTACAGGGAGAACTTTTTTAAAGATGCAGGAGAAATTGTTGACATCCGTTTTGCAATGGATAATGACATTTTTAAGGGATATGGCCATGTTGATTTTGCCACAGTAGAAGCAACAAAAAAGGTTGTCTCCATTTAGGACTTGTAGAGAATTCTGAAACCTCGGTGATTGGATTGGTGGTGTTGGATCATTTAAATTGGTCAATTACAATGACTATGTTGTATAATGTTTTATTTGTTTCGGCCTATCAATACTATACCTCGTTCGACCCTTCCTCTCTTAACCAATCCATTTTTTATTGAACCACTAAAGTTGCTTGTTTTTCGATCTATTTTGTTGCTGATTGCCCCTTGGTTGAATTTTCAACTTGTCTGCGTTGAAATATAAATATCTTTAAGTTTCTACTTGCGAAACTTTTGATTCTAAAGGTTTCATGCTTTGGATATGTACAAATGTGTGTATAACAATGAGTACACCCATTTACATAACAAATTACTTGGTGCAATTGTAAAAAAGAGCATTATGGTTGTAACATTACTTTTTAAATGATGAATGGATAGCAAGGGGCTTCTGACTTGAGTTACAATAGTTCATATGTTAATTTGACAAACAAGTTACCACAAGAGGATTTGGTGAATTTTCCTTGAGGAAATAAAGCCAAACACCATGAAATAAAGTGGGAAAAATTTATTTTGCATGTAAAGGTTTTACAAGAAAAATATTTAACGAAAATTGTTTTACATGGAAACAAACAGAGCATATTGAATATGGGATACATGGTCATGTGGTGTTACCAGTGGTATTTTATTTCATTTTATTTTATTTGTAATGTGATGTTACCAGTAGTATATTATTTCATTTTATTTTGACTGTCCATTGTTATGCTCACAGCTGTTTTAATGTGTATATATCCGCATTCTGCACGTCAAACAAGAAATATGCTCATATCTGACATCTAAAATAATTAGTCTTGTTAGTTGTTTCTAGAACTTCTTGATGCACAATATCAGTGTATGATATTGATTTTGTAATAATCCAGTTAACTAAATTGATCCTTGGTGCTATTGGTATTATACTGAAAACACGGCTTAGCATATTATGTTCTCCCAGGTTACCTTAGCCTGTAACTGTTGTATTTGGGAAGGATCTGAGATATGTAATATATTGGTTGTTGTTGCTGTATCTTGTTCTTGAGCTCTGCTTCATATAAACAAATTTATTCAGTTTGTATTTTTACTAGGTATATATTTTTTAACTGCAGGCCATCAAGTTGGATGGTAAAGAGATATTACGTCGCCGTGTGAGACTTGATTTTGCCAGAGAAAGGGGCTCATACACTTCATTTCGCAGGTATAACTTGTTTTTTTTTTTTTTTTGAAGTAAAGTGTCATGAGTTACACTGATTCAATTTCATGAGTCTAATTTTTCATCACCAAAAACTATAGCAAGGAGAGAGACTCATATCAGAGGGGAGGGAGAGCTCAAGGGCTAACAATATTTATACGAGGTTTTGATAAAAGTGGTGGGGCCGATGAGGTCTGTTTTACAAGCGCATTTTACTCCAGCATTAGTGCTTCTTTTCTTTCTCACACTTCTGTATATATGTGATTGAATTTGTACCATTTATGAATTGCAGATTAGATGTGCATTGGAAGAACATTTTGGTTCTTGCGGAGAGTTTTCTAGAGTTTCCGTTCCAAAAGATTATAATGGTGGTGTTATAGGGTTTGTACATCTTTGCTGATTACTTTCTGCTATAATCTCGTAATTCTCGTAGGTCATTGTAGTAGTTGAATCGTGTATCCTACCGTGTAATGGTTTTCTTGCTTCTCTAATGGTTTATAATATGGGTTCATCTTGTAATTTACCTTTAATTTTTTTAAACAATTCAAAAATATGCGAAGATGCATAAACCATCAAATTCTATGCCAATTTAAAACATGTCTATATACTTGAAAAAAGTCATGTTCGATTTCCTTTCATATATTGATCACTAATATGCACATAAATGTCAAACCTGCATATTGTAGTTGTAGAATTTAAACTATGCGCTATTTTAGTATATCTCTGTTTTAATTTCGATCTTACAAATTTTGTAGATTCGATTTCGCATCCAATAGGAATCCTCCATGGACTCTTAAATGCCACAAAGTTTTCCTAGGTTGCAATGGAAGCAAACGAGTCTTTAAATTTGTTGTTTTATTCTAGATTATCCGTAAATAAAAAGGACTGCATGTATATTTGGGTAAGAAAATATTGAAGAATGACAGTTTTTAAACATGACAAGAACAATTAAATTATATGTGCAGCGTAGTAGCATTCTAAATGGCATGCATGTATCCTATGTGTCATAATATGCACCATCCATATATCAATCAGACAATGCATGCGGTATATTTTGCATTCTATATCCCGTGCATGAATTCCTTGTGTCATAATATACAACCTCCCTATATCTTTTAAAGATATTGACAGGATACAACATATAGGAGCAGTACAATATTGTTTCATCATAAAAATGAATCAAAAGTGCTTCAGTTTGTAGACTCCTTACTTTTTAGCAATTAAATTTTCACTGTATATTTATGTTATACTTCAGTTTTGAGATTCTATTTTGACTTTGTACCAGCTAAATTCAGTGTTGTGCTGTATTAAGCTAGTATGGTTGAAAGGATATCTAATGTTGCTAATATGTAGACAATTTATGATACATAGCTTAATTTCTTTTTCCTAAATGAAGAAAAAAAATTATAAATAGAACAATAATGTACAAGATAAAAAATGAGGGCATACCCTCATTAAACAATCAAACTTTATAGAGGGAGGAGGAAAGAACAGCAAGGGCATACCCTTGCTACACAAATCTCAAGACGAGACAATCTAGGTGATGATGTCCTGGAGGCATACCTCCAGCACATCCAAAACTTCCCAAAGAATACATTTAACCAACTATAGCTGGTTCTCTATGAGCTGAGCCATGAAGTCTGTTGTTCCTTTCAGTCCATAAGAAGTATAAAGTAGCTGAGAAAAGCACTCTGTACATCTTGTTTCTGATGCTTTTCACTGCAAATTGCTGAGAAAATGAGTTCACAAGGTCACCAAGAGTATGACTTCTTTGCAAATTCCACCTCATAATATCACCCAAGCTGCACCACACTTGCTACGAATAACAGCAACATCCAAAGACATGATCCACAGACTCCACCTGATTCAAACATAGGAGACACCTTGAAGCTAGTGATATACCTCTCTTTTAAAGATTATTGTTTGTCATGACAGCATTCTGGATAATCAGAGCAGAATAAACTGACCAACGAACCCTACCACCATTCCAGCATAGCTGTGCCCATCCAACTTGAGGTCTCTGAACCCTACAAGCCTCCCATCCTGCCCGAATGTGAACTGCTTGGACTGCCATGTTAAGAGATCTGGACCATCTTGGATATCAAAACCCTGCATATATCGCTGAATAACCCGAGTAGAACGACATAATTTAGTGCTATCGCACTGCTTGTTCACCAGAAAATTACTGAGAGAAGCCTGTTTATCAGTACACAATTACCTCAGTATCCTATGATTAAACTTCTCTGATAGGAACATACCCTCACACCATGGATCTAAAAAGAATTTAATCCCAGAGCCATCACCAATCTTATACCTGAAGTTCCGTTTAATCACATCCCTAACAGATATAATATCCTTCCAAATAGAAGACTGTGAATTCCTCATAACAACATGCCAGTAAGTAGACATCTTGACATTGCAATTCTGATACCAATCCACCCACAGTCTATCTTTGAAAAGGAGAAAGTCCCAGGCATATCAATATCAGCAATCCTCCTCACACCAAGCCCACCTTCCTCCATAGGAGCGGCCAATGTCATCCAATTAAGATCATGATGCTTGTGACAATCATCCTCATGACGCCATATAAAATTTCTGACCCTTCTCTCTATGATATTGACCACAGCAGCAGGCAAAGAATAAACAGAGGACCAATTGTGTACCATAGATATCACCACTGACCTAACCAGTTCAACCCTGCCAGCCATTTATAAATTCAAACCTCTCTATTTAGTAGTAGATGCCTCAAATTTTTCAATAAGAGTCCTACAATCCACCATCCTCGTACCCTTGTCAGAAATGGGCAATCCAAGATAAGTGAAAGGGAGAGTACCAGTCTTACAACCAAGAGTCCTCAATACTGTATTTCTTCTCTTCACAATTCATGTTAAGGAAACCTCTGACTTATCATTACTAACAGTGAGGCCAGAGGCATCCTCAAAATGCTACATGACCTTCTTAAGAGTAATAACAGAAGCTGTATTAGTCCCAACTACTACGAGCAGGTCATCTGCAAAAAATTGATGAGTGACAGGGACCTTGGCTCTTCTAGCAGCTACCCTGTCTATTTTCATGCTCTAACATCCCAGAAAGGTACTCAGTCACCAGAGTGAACAACAAAGGAGACAATGGACATCCTTGTCTCGGGCCTTTCCCAGACTTAAAGTGACCATATGGACTGCCAGTAATGAGAATAGAAAACCAGACAGAAGAAATATACTCCTTTAACCACCCAATCCATCTGCTCCCTAAACCAAACAACTGCATTAGCTGCAAGAGAAAAAGGCCACTGGACACTGTCGTAAGCCTTCTGGAGATCAACCTTCCAAGCAAGAGTAGGTTTAGCATTCTTGGCCCCAAACCCTCCATCAACTCATGAGCTAGAATTATGTTGTCTTGAATCTTACTCCCTTTGATGAAAGCATTATGTTCTTTCCCCACTATGTTGTCAGGAACTAGAACCAGTCTGTTTGCCATAATCTTGGCCTGAATTCACTCACCTTATCAGCCTTCTTCTTGGGAACAAGAGTGATAAAAATACTATTAATGCTCTTCCCCAATCCCCATGACAGGTTGATGAAAGAAATGAATGAAAACATCTGTAACATCTTCACCTACAATGCTCCAGTATTGTTGATAAAACCTTGTGGTGAAACCATCAGGGCCTGGAGCTCTTATCAGCTCCCATACTGAACACTGTAGCTTTCATTCTCTTGTTACCACAGCTTCTAATAAAGCAGCATCATCATCCCTCAAGGTTCTCTTAACAAACTCAGCATTAGGAAGAGATTTGGCAGTTGAATTACTAGTGAATATGTCAGAGAAGTGTTTGACCACCGGATTCTGGATACTTGAAGGATCATAGGTCAAGGTTCCATCCTCTAACTGCATTACAGTAATGTTATTCTTAGTCCTATTGTCCTTGATTTTCTGATAGAAGAACTTAGAGTTCCTGTCCTGGTCCTTGATTCATTTAATCCTGGCTTTTTGTGATAGAACTATTTCCTCATTGGATAGAGCACACTCAAACTGTCTTCTAGCCCTCTCTTCAGCAGCAATGGCTTCACCATTCATAGGATCAGAGGATAGAGCTAATTGACAGTCCTCAAGGGTTCTCCTGGAGGATATCACGCCCTCAAAGACAGATCGAAATTTATCCTTGTTCCAAGTTCTGACAGCAGACTTTGTGAGCTTGAGCTTCTATAGGATCACCAAACACACAACCTTGCCACACCTCATAGATAACCTGTCTAACAGCATCTTGTTGATTCCACACTCGTAAGAATCTGAAAGTCTTTGGTCCAGTAGCTACCTCCATAGGATAGTGAAAACAGAGACCCCAATGATCAGATATCATTGGGGTAGGCTTTGGGAGCAGAGAGAAGAATTTGTGAGTTAGGATAGTGTCATTCAACAAAGCTCTATAAAGTTGACCATAAATCCTCCTCTGGACAAACAGCTTATTACACCATGTATATTGACCATTGAAAGTAGGAATTTCAGTGAGGCTCAATTGATCAATAACATTACATCCATGTCCCATTAACTGCAGAAGATAAATCCACAAGATCCTTCCATAACTGTCTCCTCTCTGCAACAGCATTGGCAGCATAAACAAAAGAAGCAAAGAAAACTTTATTTGATCCACGAACCACCACCTTCAACAGAGTAACCTGAGCCTTACCTTCCAATATCTGGACATCAAGTCTCAAGTGATCCCATCCAAACCAGATCCTACCCCAACTGATAGCATCACAATTGTGAGACCAACTCCAGTCTCTATTGATTCTAGACTTAATAATGTCAAACTTATTTGTATGCACTCTAGTGCTAATCCCAACTAAGGATAAAGAGTGCTTACCCAACCAGGAGCGAACCTCATGTTGCATTCTTCTCCTGTCGAGTCCCCAGACATTCCAAAACCCAATCATAAAATAGAGGAGTTTGGTGGATTAGCTCCACCAGCAACCATACCTCTAGTTACGTGAACTTTATTAGGGTCAACATCAGCTTCCTTCTTCTTCTTCTTCTTCTTTGATGATTCACACCCCCGTGGAGACAAAGAGGTATTGGCATTACCCTCATCCTCAGAAACAGCTACGACAACCATTATGCCACTTTCAGCATTATCCTCTTAGAAGCTCCATTCACAGTCTTCTCAGCTGTGACTTCATCATTTTGAACCTGGTTAAGCTCTTTTGTCATCCTAATTGCACCCTCTTCTGCACATGGCACAATCTGCAAGGAGTTGGCCTCTACATCTACATTGCTAGAAATCACCACCGGGTTAGGATCACCTCCATCTACAGGTATGAACTTGCCCTTTTGTTTCACCACCCATTCCGAGATCACCTTCTTTTGGGGTTCAGGTTTCAGGGGGCATTTAGCCTTGGAGTGATCATAACCATTGCATTTCCTGCAAATTTGTGGCTTCCAATCACATTCAATTTTAACTTCACTAGGAATCCCATGGACATTAGCTTGAATCACCTTAGGGAGTTCCTCATGTACATCTATTTCCACCATAACCTTCACAGAGCTCCCATGATCCCTAGCCATGGTGACTTCATCAAGAAAAAGAGGTTTTGAAAATTTCGAACAAACCTTAGAGATGGCTATGGCACTCCTGCAATGAATGGGCAGTCCAACCAAGCGAATCCAAATGGGCACAGACCCTAGGACCTCCTCCAAATTCGCATTCTTATCCCACCGTTTCAAGATCATAGGCCGGCCTTGATATGTATGAATTCTCTGCAATATGGTATTCACAACATCCTCTGATTCAACATATGGTATTCACAACATCCTCTGATTCAAGCCGAACCATGAAGAAACCCTTGGGCATGTTGATTGCCTTAAAAGAGCCAACACTCTTCTAAATATCTTCAGAAAGTCATGGAAGTTGGGAAATAAGGCTGTTTCCCCACCAAATACCCTGCTATCAAGTGTTTCCACAAGTCGATTTCCTCCTTGATATCCTCTTCCAGTATGTGTACCACCGGAGCATCATTGTTGTCACATATGTATGACAAGTTGACAACTGCTCCATCTTCTTCTGTGCTGCACCATCAAAGAAACTCCTCCATGAAGTTTTAGGAGGCTCGGATGTGTGAGGATTAACTGCCCCCACTAGCGGGTTGGAGGAGGTAGCTATTGGAGTTGCTGCACAATCAACCGGATCCTCTGATACCAGTTGTTGTGGCGGAAACGCAAGAAACAACGCTGTTTGAGGAATAATATAAGCAATCACGAAAGAGAAAAAAACAATCACACACAAAAACACAAGGTATACATGGTTCACCCAAATCTTAGGGTTACGTCCATGGAGCGCACTGAAAAATTTCACTATGAAAAAGATGAAGAATTACAATGGAGAATTTTCTCTCAAGCTCTCTTAATTGCTCTCTCTTGTGTTGGCGCAAATTAATCAATTATACAACACGTATGATAATCCTCTCTTCAAATTATCTTACACACCCTAAAATCTGATTAAGGTTGATATATATAGTCCCAGAAAATGGAACACAACTTGTCCTACAAGAACTTGCCTTTTGTAGAGTCCAAAACCAATAAGGAAGTTAAATCACGTAGGTTCCCAGGGGAGTTGAACCGGTTTAGCTCATTTGAACCGGTTCAGCTCATTTGAATTGGTTCAACTTTGTTACCCAAACGTGTTGCAACTCAATGCGTCACTTGAACCGGTTCAACTTTGGCAGTAGCGAAAGTCCAAATTTACCACTCCGGTTGAACCGGTTCAAACACACTGAACCGGTTCAAACGTGCCAGTAGCCAATGTAGAGACCAAATCGACAAACTTGAACCTCCCAAACCCTTCACGTAATCAGCACGTGATCAGACTCGACAAAACCACAATAGTAGCCCCCACCTACATTGTCTGAAACCCACATCTCCCTCACCGGAACCCTAGCCCGCTAGGAAGGGCTAAGAAAAAGAAACCCAAACTTCAGAAACCCTAAGTCGCTTAAATGTCTGACGGGAGGGGTTTTTCCCTTTACTTTTCTTTTTTCATGAGTTGAAAATTATTATTATTATTTTTGTGTATGATACATAGCTTATTTGTGTTCCTTAAGAAGAAATCCATCCGAAAAATTTCATGTTTTTGTGATATCTCTAGTTGCGGGCAGTAGAAATTGAATACGTTCTCAAGTGCTAATTTTAAGGGATGAAAATGTTGCTTTAACTTGCCAGGAAAATAGGCGCTTCTCAAAGGAATGAGAGTTAAATGAACAGATAATACGAACACTAGGTATACAATTTGACCCCTTAGAAATTAATTTCATGACTAATGGTTGAATGGGTCTTTAAACTGTCAAGTGTAGCAGATTGGTGTGATGCTATGACATCATCGGAGGTGTGTTCTCTTAGGTTCTTTTAAAAAGGTGATATTTTGAAGATTGTGGTGGAAGCCAGCTCTATTTAAGAAAGCACCTCTATTCACAATTTCTCTTTTACATCTTTTTTGATTCTGATGTTTCGGATTCTTTTTTATTTTCCACTTGTCTGATTCTTTTTTGTTGCCTAAGGTTGGGGCTGATGAACTGCATATGTTCTGAGTAATGACGACTTCTCTCGCATCTTTTGTGGTGGCAGGTTTGCTTACATTGACTTTAGGGACAGTGATGGTTTCAACAAAGCTCTTGAACTCAATGGATCTGAACTTGCAGGCAGTACCTTGACAGTGGAAGAGGCAAAGCCACGTTTCAGAACTGGTGGTGGTTGGAGTGGTGCAAGAGGTACTGGTTGGAGTGGTGGAAGAGATGCTGGTTGGAGTGGTGGAAGAGATTCTCATTGGAGTGGTGCAAGAGATGCTGGTTGGAGTGGTGGAAGAGATGCTGGTTTGAGTGGTGGAAGATATGCTGGTTGGAGTGGTGGAAGAGATGCTGGTTGGAGTGGTGGAAGAGATGCTCGCTGGAGTGGTGGAAGAGATGCTGGTTGGAGTGGTGGAAGAGATGCTTGCTGGAGTGGTGGAGGAGATGCTGGTTTGAGTGGTGGAAGAGATGCTCGTTGGAGTGGTGGAGGAGATGCTGGTTTGAGTGGTGGAAGAGATACTGGTTGGAGTGGTGGAAGAGATGCTCGCTGGAGTGGTGGAGGAGATGCTGTTTTGAGTGGTGGAAAAGATGCTGGTTGGAGTGGTGGAAGAGATGCTCGCTGGAGTGGTGGAAGAGATACTGGTTTGAGTGGTGGAAGAGATGCTGGTTTGAGTGGTGGAAGAGATGCTGGTTCTCAGTTTGGTGGTAGACGTGGAGGTGGCTGGTTTGGTAATGGTGGCAGATGATGTGGAACACCCATCAGACCAAGCTTGTGTAGGCCTTACTGGTACGTAATCTTCATGCTCGTTTAAATCATCTTATAGTCATTGTAATAATGTAATTGCTAGACGTGGTCTTGGGGAATTAATTGGTTGAATTTGCTATTTGGTAAATTAAAATGAATCTGTAAGAAATAAAATAAATCATTTTGAAAACAAATCCATTGGGGTGAAAACGATTTTGGATTGCATTGCTCCAGTCATCCTCCTTATATGAGTGTGAGAGGTTATGTGGAATGAATAGTTGCCCAGTGCAATATGCTTTTGCTGACGTGGGGCACTATATTACTTAAAACAACATTAATTAATTATTATTATTTTTTCCTGAATGGGGTGGTTTCATAGAAATAGAACCATAAAGCACCATTAATTTTCCTTTGGATGTGATATTACCAAGGACCGGAACCCAAGGTTATGATAGAGAGCCGCACAAGGAAAAACACAGGACCTAGTTTCGGTGGGTTTGTAGAAATGATTAACTGTTTTAACTAATTTTCAAAATTAAAACAGATTTAGTACAAGTTTTAACTTAAAAATCTTGCCGATAGTAAAAAACATATGTAATCCAGAGTAATTTAAAATAATACACAACAGATTTTTATCTGGAAAACTCTACAAAGGGTAATCTACGCGACTTCGTTCTGGCAAAACCAAATCCACTGTAAAAAAGAAGGTTTACAATCAGGTTAACAGACTTTACCCCAAGAATCCCTGGAAACTATTTAAGCTAGAAACTGAAATAAGGTATGGACTCAATTTGTACTACGAAATTTGTGAACATAAGTCCTATTGACATAACACGATTGATAATTTTATAAATAAAAGCTCAAATATACTATAAACCTAAATCAGCTAAAAATAATTTTTTTTGATAATTAAATAATGTAATAATTATAGTTTTTATTTTATTTTAAATTTGATGAGACATTTTGATTATAAGATTTGTACTTTGAGTTTATTTTTATTATTTTTCAACTTTTGGAAATCCCAACAAAAGTTGTAATTCCATATTTTATCATCTGATGCAACCTTTATAATCAAATTAAGGGTTAAAATCATAAAACCCCCACTACTTTCAAATATGTGTCATAACACCCCAACCTAAATTTCATTAAAAAGTGATCACATTGCCCCAATATCCGTGTCCAACCCGTTAATCGGGCTGTGAAATGACAAATTTGACCCTAATATTTAATGTTAAATTTAAAACTGAAAATTAATTTTTTTTTAAAAAACTACAAGAATACCCTTTAAGTGAAGGGGTTGTCTACTTCTTACCCTCTCTCTCTCTGTGCAATCTCTGCTCACCGGGTTGACTCACCCGACTCGCCCTTCTTCAGAAATTGTTCAGACCATCAAAGCCCACAAGACCTTCTCCAACGTCTCTCCGATCACCGTGTTCTCCAATTCCACAGCCAATCAACCTTTGGATTCCATTTTGTTTGGTATCCAAATTTAAGACCAAATAGTCCAAAACCATCTTTCAATCTGCAGAAGATCTCTAGAGACAAATCTTTTGGAAAAAGCATCTTCACTTTTTATGCTTATGTTAATTTAATTGACAGATACAAAATTTATATACGTATATTGTGATATCTCTGCATCTAATCCAACATCATTGGGTTATCTGTCTTGTAAAAGCTGAATCATCCATATCAGTCTCAGATTCTCAAACACCAACTTCTTCTAATAAAACCCAGTACAAGCAAGAAATCGAAAAAAGTTGACATATAGATAATTAGCTGTATTGTTGACTATATAACTGTTAACATATATAGATAATTAGCTTTACATGTGCTGATTAGGTGTTGATTAGCATAGTTATAGGAGCTGATTTTTAGTCTTTAATTTCTTTCCTTTTTTGTAATTATTTCTTTCCTCCTTTGTAATTATTTGTGTACTATTTAAATCCTCCACAAGGAGAAGAATAAACATGGAGAATTGTTCCTATTCCTTTATCTCTAGAGATATCTTCAAGGTGTCAGAGCCATCTAGAAAGGAAATTATAAATCCTATTTTTCTTTTAGGGTTTTCTGCAAATATATCTTATTTACCCAAACACCAGTTTTTTTCTATCACCCCGAACCTACCGACAACCTTGCCCGCCACCACAGACCAGGTATCCTTATTTGACTTTATGGCAGACAAGATTGAAACCTCTGTGACTTTTGAGATTGATTCTCAGACTCTAATGATTCCTCCAACCGCATCTAACCTGCATCAAGATCTGATGAATGTCCTATTGTTGCCTCATAAACTTGATGGCACCAATTATCTGGCTTGGTCACACTTTGTGAAGTTGTATACCGGTTGGGGTATTTAACTAGGGAAAAGCCCCGACCTGAGATCAATGACCCAACTTTCACGACTTGGGTTGTAGAAGATGCAATACTTTGCTCTTGGCTCCTCCAAAATATGACCTCTGATCTTAGTCTTGGGTATATGCGGCTCAAGTCCACTAAAGATATTTGGGATGCAGTATCTCAGACTTATTCTGTGGGAGGAAATGAGGCACAAATTTATGAGTTGAAGCGTAGTATTCAGGCTACTATTGAGCAGGGAAGGACATTGGAGGCATATTACAATGCCCTCCAAGCTTTGTTGCAAGAGCTCGACTATTATCAACCTTGTGAAATGGAATGTGTTGATGATACCGCTTTGTTGAATAAGCATATTGAAAAAGAACGCGTTTTTGAGTTTCTTGCTGGTCTTAACTTAGATCTGGACCAAATAAGGAATCAGGTGCTTGGAAAAGATCTGTTTCCTTCTTTGCGTGAGGCCTATGCTTATGTGCGTACCCAGGCCCTTCGACGATCTGCTATGCTCATGCCACCTTCTCCAGAAGGATCTGCTTTGGTTTCTACCACAAGTCAATCACCTCGGGTATCATTAGCACATCAGACCGATCCTCCACTAACTGCAGCATTTGGTAATATTGCTAAAACTACTAAATCTGATGACAAAGATTGTTTGGTTTGTGATTATTGTAACTAGACTAGACATGTGAGAGAATGATGCTTTAAACTTGATGGTTATCCGCCTTGGTGGCCGGGAAAAAAGGGTGACAAAGGTGAAGGCAGTAAGGGCGGAAAAGGGTGTCGTTCTAGCTTCAAGGCTCATTATACCTCTTCCAGTAATCAGAATGGCGACCAATCTGCTGCTAAGTCTCTTCTGGTCAAATGGAACAAATGATTCAGGAGTGTGCTCGTTTGCTCTCTACTAAAGGGTCCAGTTTTTAAGCCACGTCCTCAGGTAACCTCGGTCATTGTTTTAGTGTATCCGGTAAGTCTTCCTTAGAATCTTGGGTTATAGATACAGGGGCAACTGATCACATGAACTCTATATCTCATTTTTTCTCATGTTATTCCTCACATACTAAAACTTGTGTCACAACTGCTGATGGTTCACCAACCCCTGTGATTGGTGAAGGTTCAGTCACTCTTTTTGATTCTTTGCCTCTTTCCAATGTTCTTCATGTCCCTAGATTGTCCAATAATCTGCTGTCTATCAGTCAACTTACTAAAACCTTAAACTGTTCTGTCACGTTTTTTTGACACATTGTATATTTCAAGATCTCCAAACGGGGGCGAGGATTAGTCATGGTAGTGAACGAGGTGGCCTCTATCTCTTGGATATACCAGCTGCTTCAACCTCAGTTCATGTTGTGCAGTCCACTACTGGTTTATCCCGTGACATTTGGTTATGGCACAAGCGTTTAGGACATCCGCCATTTTATTATTTAAAAAAATTGTTTCCTTCTTTATTTTCTGCTGTTGATGTTTCTCAATTTCAATGTGAAACTTGTGAACTTGCTAAACATCATAGGGTACCTTTTCCATTAAGTCTTAATAAAAGTGCATTTCCTTTTGCTCTTGTTCATAGTGATGTTTGGGGCCCTTCTCGTGTAACTAATTTGTCAGGTGCTAAATGTCACATTCATTGATGACTACTACCGAGTTACTTGGGTTTATCTGATGAAAGAAAAAAGTGAAGTTTTCTCTATTTTTAAGTCCTTTCATCAAATGACCCATACACAGTACAATTCAAAGATAAAAGTCTTCCGCTCTGATAATGGGGGTGAGTACATTTATTCGGGTCTCCAATCCTATTTTTTTAACCATTGCATTATTCATCAAACTTCTTGCACTGATACCCCTCAACAGAATGGAGTAGCCAAACGAAAAAATCGTCATCTTCTCGAAGTATCCCGTTCTCTGCTTCTATCAATGATAGTACAAAAGTCATATTGGGGGGAGGTTGTCCTCACAACAACTTATTTGATCAATTGGATGCCTTCCAGAGTTCTTCAATACCAAACTCCACTTCAGGTCTTCACTACTTGCTCGCCATTTACTGTTAATCATCTTCCTCCTCGAGTCTTTGGTTGTATAAGCTTTGTCCATGTACACCATAGTAGTAAGCTTGACCCTCTTTCCCTCGAATGCATTTTTCTCGGTTATTCTGCTACTCAGAAGGGTTACAAGTGTTATCACCCTCCGTAAAAAAAATTCTGTCTCTATGGATGTTACTTTTCACGAGGAACAAGCCTATTTTTCTAGTCTTGCTTTTACGACATATCTTCAGGGGGAGACCTTGAGTAGTGAAGAAAAGTCTTATATTGTGCCTATGTTTGAATTAGAGTGGAAATGAAACAAATGAAAAAAATGGAAAAAATGAAAAAGCAGAAGGCGGTTCTTTGACTCTCCCTCCAAAAAGCCATCATATGTCTTCATTTGAGTTGGTATATCTAAGAAGAGAAAGGTTACCTCTCGAGCAAAATGACCAGCCCCGACAACAGGTAATCCCGAGGTAGAGTTTGTTAAATCTCCATTCTCTTTTGTTGATAATAGTTCTGTAGATCCTAATGCTTCAGATGATTCTAATGTTGTTAATGACTTAGAATTGCCTATTGCCTTGAGAAAATCACATCGTACTTGTCAGTCAAAATATAAATATCCTATTTCAAGTTTTATGTCTTCTCATCGTCTCTCACCATCCTTTAAGGCTT